CCCTGATATTTTGGTTGAAATCGGATAAGAAAATAACAAAGTTCGTTTCTGAGGCCCCCCTCCCTTAAAAGATAATGTGGGAATAGTTGTTGTCCCCAAAATAATTCCTTTTGGTAATGAACATGAGTAAGTTGTTGGATTATGAAGTGAAATAAATGAAGTATGATGATGAATAGTTAATGAAGAATTTAACATAAATACAGGTAATCGTTGTTGTAATTTAAAAGATGGATGAAATAATACTGTAGCTGATGATAATTCTACAGATACAGGAACTATTACTGTTCGCTTTGGTGGAATCCGGACATTATTAATTAAGCGTGCAGGATATTTCATATCGTTCTTATTAACATCTAATTTTAATGTTGTACGTTTATAATTATCACTAATTGAAACTATTTGTTCTTCCGTATTAATAATTAATTTATACTTATTAATGAAATCCATACCTAAAATACAATCAGCACATAATTCTTTAACAACTATTGCTTTGATAGAAGTTAACATATCACCCATTGTAATAAATAAATTCATGGTTCCAAGAACGAAAAGAGATGTATAACCATCAGCTAAAATTACACGACTATGTGATTTATTAACAAATTGCTTACCATAAGATAAATCTAATGCTTTGATTGAAATAAAAGATCGATTTGCATCTGTATCAATCATTACTTTCATTTTTTTATTATCTACAATAAAATTAAGATATAGTAAAGATGTATTTGGGGTCGATGGATTTTTATACAAACTATTGGAAGCAACACCACCAATCGTTGCCTCCTTTATCCGAAATGGGTACGGGTACAATCCCACGCATAATGACCGGGAGTACCACATTTATAACAACGATATGGTTGCTGAGAATGAGGTGAATATCTTGAAGGGTCATAATATCGAATTTGTTTATTCCCTATTCGTGTAGTATGTGAGTGATTTGGGCGAAATTGTTGAGGTGGTAGTTGTTGAAATGTGTTTTGTTGAGATTTTTTAATGACTTTTGTTGAGTAAATGGTTGTGTTAATGGTTTTGGATGTGTAACAGCATTTATTGTAATATGATCTGGATGCATGTCATTATTTGAACTTGTAAGGGATAATGTATCTTCTACTCTTCGAGTAATCGATAAAAATACATCAGTTGTCTTTGGATCTTGTAAAGTAACATGCATTTTTAATGAATTTTTAATACCAACCATTAAATATTTTAATTTTAATGAATCAGGCATAGCAGAATCGACTTTTTTACATACTTCTATAATTTTATCATAGTATTGAGTAATAGATTGATTAACTGTTTGTTTATACCATTTTAGTTGTTCAAAAGCTAATTGTTGTGCTTTGGTTGATCCAAAAGCATGTGTAACAGCTTCAGTAAATGATGACCAAGTTTTAATCATATCTGATGCTTGTGTCCACCATCGGAGTGCATCATCTTGTAAATGTATTGCAATATATTGTAATTTTTGTTCATCAGACCATTTTTACCATTTTAAAACGTTTGTTCTAATTCGTCTAACCAATCATGAACATCATCTTTCGAACCACGAAGATATGTTGGCTTTTTAATAATTTCATCGGCTATTGTTTGGTGTAAATGTGATGTAAATGAAGAACTAGTAACAACAATTAAAGATTTGTCCTTATCACTAGGGAGAATATCTTGAGTTTTCAATGATGTAGGTGCAAATTTTTGAAGGAATAATTTACTAAAGAATTCAAAGCTAGTAATTAAATCAATATTTTCTACATACCACAGATATGCTATATCAACTAATAAAAATGGAAGGGCTTGAAGTTGTTCAAACCGACGTAATCCACATTGTTGAAATTGATGCATTGTTTGTAATAACCAATCTTTTGCATCACCTACACCAGAATATTTATTGAATTTTGTGTCAATAAGTTTTTCGAATGAAAGTATATCATTGTTGTTTGATAACAAATGATTCACTGTTGGAGAATTAATGTGACTTATCTGACGGTTAAGACTATATTGTTTTAATCGATCACAAAATATCGACCAATCATAATTAATTTCATTTTTTGTTGTTTCATACCACATTTGTAATTCATCATTAAAATATGTAGTTGCCTGAAGCACATGATGTAAAGATGGATATGCCAATTCTTCGTATGTTTTATGTAAAATAGATAACCATGGGTCAATGTGAGCCATTTCTTCTTTATTTAATTTCTTAATAGACTGTAAAGCCCTCATTTCTTGTTCTCGTAATAATTGTAGATTTGATTTAATTTCCAACTGAGTCATAGGATCACCAGTTTTTTGTTCTTCCACTAATTCTGATATGAATTGAGCTGTTGACATAGTTGTTAATAGATTCTATTGATGTAATGAATCAGATTTTGCTTTTCCACTAACTATTTGGAGACTACTGCGTATTCCAGAAGGAGTAGAATAAAATAAATCCGAAATATGATGTTTTTGTAAACTTAAATGTGAACGAGTACGATTGTGCATTTAATGTACATAATCATCCTTAATAACTGCAAAAATAATAAATAAACTATTACACGTTACATTAAAAAATAGTAGTGCTTCCAATTCAAAGTACAACTAGTGACAAAGACAATCCTTAAAGAAGGATGTCTCTAAAATTGTCGACGTAAATATTATTATAAATAGAAATCATAAAACCAGTTCCTAAATGAGGAAGGTTTCTTGTTTAATAAAATATTGTTGTTGCTTTAAAAATCAATATTATTGTTGAAAAAACACCGCTGTCACCACTTGTTAAGTTCTACTTTTGTTAGAATAAGTTTAAGGGCAAACGTGAGGTCATTTCTAGGAGAAACATAACTTTTATTTCATAAAAGAAGGAATGAATCGACCCCCAGTATATATCACAAATATTTTATACATGTATATATATCACCAGGTATAACAAGAAAAGAAACAATAGAAATGTAGAAAGAGATAATGAACGACATTATAGATGTCGGACATAACAAAAATATTAGATAAAATAGCACAAAATACTCGAAAACGTTTTCAATTCATTGTTAAAAGCAACAACATCTTTAGGATGCCGTGGTGTTCAAACAAATCATTTAACTCATAAAAAACACTCTATATCGCATGCTTGAAAACTGTTCGTTGTACTATTCGAAACCATAGACCATTTGTAAAACTTGTACGAAACTCTATTTCGAATAAAAGCCATAAAGATAAAAAGAGAATGAAAAGAATTTCAAGTATGTAAATGAGCCACATCAATCGAAGGTCACTATTGTTTGCGCATTCAATCGGCATCTCAAGCAGCATTTGACAGCTATACACTACAACAGAAGCTACGTATGACACACGTCATATAAGAAAACTTTCTTAAGTAACGATTTCAGAGAAAACACCAATGTCAACCAAATTTTCTTACCAACATCTCCGCTAACACGCGCAAGTGCACTTTCATGGGACCTCAACGTAACAAACCGATAACCTACATCGAGAACTAAAGGCAACCGAACGACCCTCATTTCATTTAATAAACTTCCATAAAGAACTAGTACAGAAGCATTAGCTGCCACACACCACTAAAACTTCGAGAAAATACCAATGAATACCACATCAATAGGTTTTCCAATCATACTCAAATCTAAACTTTCAGTTTCAAATACATACAGGGTGCGTATGTCTACAGAATCAGTGTGGGTGTCGGTGTGGGCGTGCATAAAAACATGTTCCATTTATTTTCAAGTCCAAACACACACCCATATCCCAACCCACCCAAAAGTACCGAACAGCCACACCCACACAAAGATCCCACGCCCGCCCTAACACCCCACAACCCCACCCACTCACCCACCCTCATCCACGCCCACTCCCATACCCACGCCCACACACCTACCCACACCACCCACCCACACTCACACCCACACCCACACCCACACCCACATCCACACCGTTCAAAAATTCAATATGTCGGGGGCCAAGTGCAAATTTTTGCTCAATAATCCCGATTAATCTTTACACCATTGGATTCAGTGTAAAATCCTGCATCTAAATCAGATTGAACGAAATATAATTCAAGTATGCGAACGAATTCCGACAGTGAAAACTCGAATCTGCTGCTAACTTTACCTATAGTTTTTTCCAGAGACCTTATAATTTTCTTTCAGATTCTTTATATTATTTATTAGAAGAGACTTGATACTTTACATTTGGTAGTTTAATGAGAAATAACAATTTCGGATAATGCGGAAATATGCTTGAAAAATATATTACAGGAAAGAATAAAAGAAACTTATTTTACGATGCTTCTTAGACTAATCGACTATAAAAAACAGGTGCAATTCTAGACTTAAAATTTTACACATCTTTTCCTTTTTTAAGATACAACCAGAAAAGTATCCATTAAAATGTGGAACGCAAAAGAAAATTCATCTTTCTGCTGTAAAGCATGTTCTCCTCCTACTTTAAATCATTTGCCCTCCTCTCCCTTAAATTTTTTTTCTGTACTCCGTTGCCTTTACCATATGATCGTTTTCTTCTTTACTCTTTTTTGTTTGCATATGTGCTTAGTTTTTTTTTGAATTAGTCTCTAACACTTGTACATTTCTCTTTCTTTATCATAGCTGTACAGTTGACTAAAATGTGGAAGTAAATTCATGTCCGTTGAAGTTGATATATTTGTACCATTTACTTTGAAATCAGTGATTATTAATTTTAACTTGTTTGTATTCTCATGTGATCAATTATTCTTTATTGAATTGAATACGTCTTTGTTTAGCCGTTGTCATCTGTAGCTCTCTGAAGCAAAATAATTCGAAAGTGAGTTAAACAGTACGTGAATCAATTAAATGTTTTTCGAATTTCGTCTCAAAATATTTACAATAGGTTTGTTTTCTTTTTCTTTTTCTTTCTCTACTTATTTTTTTTCTTTTTCGACTTGCTTCATTTTTTTTCGTTTAGAAGTATTGCAAAAATATCGAGGTAGTGTTTACATCATTCTATTTCATGCTTTAGAAAAGTGTATGCACATATTATTTATTTGCACTTTTTTTTT